AATTATCAATTGGTTAACTTGTTTTTCAGTCTAACTTTTGCAAGAAACCAAAGATGCACGAAATAGAACGTTATTATGTAAATGGACATCTTTTTTTAGATTGCTAATAAAGTTATAAAAGGTATTTTCTTACTTAGATACTATTTTTGGGATTTTTTGAACACTTTAGAACTCCCGGTCATTTAGTGCATCAAAGACCTTAATTTAGCGGAAGCCGAGCGTAACGCTAAGTGCGACAAGAAACCAAAGATGCACGAAATAGAACGTTATAATATGAATCGACATCTTTTTTTAGATTGCTAATAAAGTTATAAAAGGTCTTTTCTTACTTAGATACTATTTTTGTTTTTTTCTTGTACATTTGATATAACAGCAAATATCCAATGTGTCAAGAGCAAAATGAGTTAGGTGACAAAAAACAATCACAATTTTGACATTATTTTCAACAAATCGTAGTTAAATCATATTAACTATGTCCGAATAGAATAGTCAAAATAATGAGTTTCAGTTTAACTTTTTTAATTTCTTTTCTTCGTATTTTTAGATGGCAAACTTAGTGCCAAACTAATCTTTGATTTGAATTCCAATTACTTCGCAGTGTCATTGTAAAGAAAAACTTTGTTGTTTTTTTTTTTGTTCAAGAAATCTGTGTAGGAGATGTGCGGCAATCTTAATTAGTTTTTCATATAATAATCAGGGACCGCGGAGTCTTACCTCTTTGTTTCCTTGTGGTTACTCYGAGAAAATGTTTTCCAACGTAACACCTACCGTTAAACATAGCTAACCTAACCTGCTAGTATTTCACAAATATTTACATCAAGAACCAACTGTTCAATTTCAAAAATCAATTGGTCCATTTACCAGCGTGAAAAAATTACGTAATCTCACATTTTATTAGCAAGGAAACCACAACAAATACTTATACTGGACCGTTTGCAACGGGTTCAGCTATAAAAAGTGAAGGTTGCGCAAGTTCTGAAAACATTGTACGATATGTTCATAAGGGAGCGTTACAGGGATAAATTAAATTTCATTATAAAAATAATAAGAATAGATAAATGATTGTGTAAAAATACTGAATAAATAAATCAGTGAACAAAAAACAAATTATTGAGCAAGAGTAGGGTTGAGAGAGAGAGAGAGAAAAACGTCAAGCCCATTCCTGGGATTCGAACCACAGCCAAAATAATGGAAAAAGGTTGGGAYGATTCCCCCGAGACATTCTGTGAAGCTGAGGCGTCGAATCGATTTACATTCCGGTTAGAGATTTCGGCTCTTCCATGCTATCCCGATAATTGGTCCTAACTTCGCGCTAACTAAAAAGCMAGTGAGGGAGAAGCTATCCGGCCCCTAGACACTGATGGATAACCCCTTGCACTAACTAGGCAACTATAGAAAATATAATGTCAAATTGGGGTATTCTATTCGGTGAAAAGTGTCAAGTGGTCTATTATTATGTAAATGAGCGTGGTCCAGTAGCGCATCTTGGCGCTGCGTTGAAATTCAATAGTGGTGTTATGTATGGTCGCGAGATCGAATCCCAGTTTTGCAAAAAATGACTATTTAGTCTTTTCTATTTATCTTCATTTTTTTTCTTTAATTGACCCTCTTAATTTTTTTTTAATTGCTTCCTTCATTGTTATTTTGATTGTCCACAATTGTAACATTATTATTTAATACTTGGCTGAAAACCACCCTGTGAATGGAGCCAAGTCGGGCTACCTGTGTTAAAATTCAGTGAGATATTGTGTCATGCGCACTCCACCAACAAGACAACATGGCGGACTATTGATGTGCTTTTTGTACCAACGTTTAGACCTCATTTCATCCTCAAGCTTTTGGAACTGAGGCTCACATTACCGCGTTCTAGTSTACAATTGTACGCACAGTYAATTYGTAGAAGARTCAACGGCATATTWTATTACTGGCATTAACAAATTGCTTACAAACTATAACRCTAACGGGCGTCGGCAACGTGATTGAATCGGAGAAATATAAAATGGATAGTCTTACAGGACAGCAGATTCACGATCAGGAAGTCAAACAGGTATGTATTTGTACAGSGAGTGTTTATTCACATGCACTTCATCATAAAATATGCTTGCAACAAGTTGGGTATTTCAATCAATTGTTATCACAGATGCAGAGTTTCCTGTCGTACTACAATCGTCTCACTGAGCTGTGCTTCTCTGACTGTGTGCATGATTTTACTAACAGACGAATTGCAGCAAACGAGGTGAGAATAGTCTTTGTYACATTCCCCTGTTCCATCTTGAAAGGTAGCTMTGGCTTATTSYTGYKRWGMA